ACATGAAAGATATATCAGATGGATATTTGGGCTAAACTGGAGGACACCCGGATATATGGTGAGAGATGAAGTGGAGAGAGAGAAGATGAGAGGCAGGGCAAGCAAAAGAGCGTGGAAGTTCGAAAAGAAATTAGAGGAAGGCAACGGAGGGGGAATAGCGAGGAAATGCTTAGAGGAAATGAAAGAAAGATGGAAGAGGGGGAAGATAATAGGAAAGTGGGAACAAGAAAGGAAAAGTTATCTGGAAGAGCTGGGGGTGAGAGTTGAAGAGGAGGAAGAGTTAGAAGTGGAAAATCTGGAGAGCAGAGAGAAGGCAAAGCAAAAACAAGAGAGGATGGAAAAGATCGTAGAATCGAAATACAACAGGTGGTATAAATTTATAAGGGAAGACGGGATTCCAGGATACTTAGAGAAAAACTGGGAGGAAGAAAGGTGGAGCAGGGTCGCGAGGTTCAGACTCGGTAATGAAATAAGGAAAGGACTGCATTGGGAAAAAGAGGAGAATAGAAGGTGTAGGATATGCGAGAGGGAGGAGGAAACTTGGGAACACATATGGGAGGAGTGTACGAGATGGAAGAAATGGGATGGAAAGGGGTGGCAGGATGTGGTGGAGAATTTACTAGGAGAAGGGGGAGAGGGAGAGGAATGGATGAAAGCGATAGAGGAAATGAGACAAGAGGGAGGGAGGAGAGGGGAAGTGATGGATAAGAGAGCAGTGTGATTGAGACGTATGAGAGAAAAATATGAAAGGAAAAAAGCAAAGGAAACGGAAGTCCAATTGAGAAGTGAGGAGGATAAATGGAAAGTATTGGAAGCAAGAAGAAAGGAAGGAAGTAGGATGAAAGTAAAAATAGACGAAGACAAGTCGGTGGAGGAGAAAATCAAAGCAGGAAAAGAAAGGGAATTGAGAAGGGAAAAGAAAGAGGAAAACGAGAAAAAAGAGGAGTTGACAAAGGAGGATATCGTGAAGAAAATGGAGGATAAACTACTGATGGGATCGGACGACGACGGGGACGAGGCGGACCGGGGGAGGGGACTGGGGAGGAGGCAGTGGAAGGGGTAGGGAGACAATCAACAAAAGAGGATCAAGGAGGACGAGACAACGAAAAGGATTGAAGAGGATTATGCTTATGTATTAATTATATGTATTTTTCTGTATTTTTCTGTAAAGGTTTGGGAACGTTCCTCAAAAACGCCCTTTAAGGCTTCTTTGGGGCAAATAAAGTATCGTTTGTAACTGTAACTGTAACATTTTTTGTTAATTCTCGATAACATTTTTGATTTTGATAATTATCGATAAAAAAATCATATAATAGTAAAATATACATTTGCATTATGCAGTTATATTTCTCTATTTGTATGAAAAAATAGGCGTATATGACAATAAAAGACTGATGTATGGATAAATTTTTAACAAAATTGTTTTATTTGTTGTCTTTTTCATGATATTACATGAGAACTTATTTCATCAAATTTAATATCAAATTTTAATCTATTTTAATTAAAATGAGCTAAATAAAAGATATATAATTGTAATATTCATAATTATTAATAAATGAAATATATTTGTGTAATCGTTAATTGTTATAATCGTTATAATTACAATCTAAAATTTAAATAACGCGTTGCTGTTGTTGCAATTCTTGAAAATATAATTTATACATTTTGTTTATTACATTTTGTACATTATATTTCCTAATTTTTATAACTAAAAAAACAACATAAATATTTGAAAGTACTTTGAGATAGTTTTATACGTCAAGTACATCATACATATTTTTTAATTGAACGACACAGATTGATACGATGCAGCATGTGATATGTCGATGTTAACGACACGATATCGATATTTTAAAAAAATAATAAACATAATATTTAAATATTAATATTAGAAGAAAATATTTAAACAAATTTATTTGGATACTCTTATTCAAATCGTCGTTGAAACAATTGTCTACATAATTCATCTCTGAGATCGCGACCATGTCGATCATCATCTGGATCTCCATCTCTATCTGCTGCTGGGACATTATGCAACAATACTTGCGCATTTATATCGGCATGATTGTCGACTTCAGGTTCTTCCATGTGTTGCAGATCATCCAAGTCAGCCAAATTGTGAAGAACGCAGCAAGCGAAGATGAATTTGACGATGAATTGCATATTCCTCAGCTTGAGAAAATATAACTGTCTAAAACGTTGTTTCAGTATTCCAAATCCATGCTCAACTGAAATTCTGCACTGACTATGTATACGATTAAAATTTCTTTGGGCCTGCGTCAAATGTCCATTATCCCGATATGGAGTAATTAATTGGAGAAGGCATGGGTATGCAGCATCTCCAAGAAGTATGCTTCCATCTAAAATAAAAGCACGTATATTTAAGATTAACAGCTAATGCTAAGGCTGCGTTTTGATATTCACTCTGCTAGCGTTGAAAATTTATAATTTACATGTACTACAAATTTATAATACTGGCAGTGAATATCTTCTTTGGACACTTTCAAATACAAAAATTATAGATAATTACCAGTCCATATCTACAAGATATCTACGATTTTAACTGAATTGAATAAGAAATACAAAGCTAGTTGGTTTATATACAAAAATACAGTAAATTATGAATGTGATAAGTTTATACTTTCACAAAGTATTGGCAAATCTTCAGCCAAACTGGAATTTGCAAATACTCTTGCATCGTGCACTGAACCAGGGTAGCCAATGAATACATCTAAGAACTTCTTCTGTTCATTAACGGTCCCTTGCATGTGTACGGAAAAATAATGCTTTCTATTGATGTAAGCCATTGGATCTTCAGAGGGTTTGTCAATACGGATATGTGAGCCATCAATACATCCTACAACAGAAAAGAAATACACTAAATAAATTAATGTAATTGGATTACACATACTGAATTACAAAACTGTGAGCTTAAATTAAATATATCATCAAAGAGAATCACATTATTACCAATTACTCCAGGAAAACCTTTACTTTCGAGATAGTATCTTTGCGTTCTTTGCTTCTCTACTTCAGTAGGATACCGAATAACTTCATTCCTCATATCATACAAAAATTGTGTGACTCTACGTAACACAGATTCAAGGGTACTAAGAGAGAAATCGAATCTGTCAGCAACATCTCTGAAACTAGCACTTTGATGGCCAGCAAACCACAAAAAAGTGAGAATATGTTTCTCAGCCGAAACCACTTTGAATCCTCCATGTCTTATAAAATATTGATCAAACTTTATTCAAAATAAAGTTAAAAATTTGTAGTATACACATATCTAATATAAAAAAATCAATGCTTACCTCCTAAATTTCTAAAATATGGCCAATGGCTAAATTTCTCTACTATACTTATAAAAAGCGTTCTCTTCAAACGAAAATGCATAACAAACTCTCTATCCGTATACATAGGCACTATATTTTCAATGTAATTAGTTATGCATGTGCTATGTATTCTTTGGACGAAACCTTCTGCAATTTCAACAATTGCGTTAATAAATCGTAAACGGACCCTCAAAAATTAACAAACCGGGAAGAAAAGAGGCTATAAGGGTCAAACGCGGTT